TGATGAGTGTGTCGTGGTCTATGAGCTCGTATGTCCAAGAGCCCTTGCTTTCCCTTTTATAGGCTGAGGCATGCGTACTTTCTCGGTGGCAGGTGTTGCTTTGTCAAGTGTGGCGTTTTGTTTTGACTTGAAGTGCATTCCTTCCACGCAGCCCTTCCGTTAGCTCCTTTTCTTCTGTCTATAAACAAACCGCAGTAAAAACAACACCTTGGTGTTATGTTAGATGCGCTTAAAGTGCAGGAAACGTCGAAATATTATTCCAGGCTCTCGTTTCTACCGATGTGTGATACTACTGATGCGAACCATTTGACCTCAGACGTTAAGATGCTTCTATGGTTGCTCAGGGATATGTCTACATCACACAAACCATAGAAGCGTAAGTCAAAAAACTTAGAATTGTATAAGAGATGCAATGTTATTACATGACCGGATATTTATAAGGCTTGCTGGACTTCACGTTAGTTTGAAGAAGCCGTTCTTCTGAACACAGTCAATCGAAAGGTTTTGTTAGCTTTTAAATAGTCCAAAAGTGTTCGTTTGTAGTAAACAAACAATGTTAAAAATCGTTGGAGAGGATCGCCCGAACAAATAAACAGACTTCTATAATTTTTTTTTCGAAAGTCATTGGACATTTTGCAAAAACAATTAACATTCTGCATGGTTCTGTTGAGCAGTACACTCCTTTGCATTCCATGCTAGTCCCACCTGTCCGAGACATTCGATCACACAGAAGTAGTAGGTGCGATCGCTGAAAAAAGAGGTCATTTGCCAGATATTCTGGCTTCTGGTTTGCACCCATCATCAGAAGTATACGCAGAAAGAGAACTAGTTAAAAGTACCTTGTAATATGTCTTTTTCATAGCGTTGCAAATGATCGTCTTGTAACTGTATCATGCGCTTGGCTGGGAGAGCCAAACCAATAAACCATTAAAGAACATTCACGTTATTGATGTCATGTTAGAGTATATAGAATGGGCAGGTCGTATAAGAAGTAAACTAGGCTTTAAAGTCACCACTGACTTTTTCTGCAACTCACTCACTCGCTCTCTTCTGCCTTTCAGTTATGTGACGCACGTGAAAGCCGGTTTCATCTACCTCTACGTGGACCACCTGGCATTCCAGTTGTATAAAACTGTGTAATTTTAAAGTTGTCCATTGCTCATCACACAAATACACATTTTGCGCAGCTACCTGAATGGCTGAACGCTGACCTTAAAATTAAACCTTCTTGGGATCATTTCTGTCATATGGCCCAAATAGGCTAATAAATGAGGTCAAGGTATGTATTTGTCGTAAGTTGTTGTGGCGCCAGCAGAACGTTTCCCAAATCCAAATCAAAGAAGACGGAATTTGTCGAAAATTCCCGCTGAAATATTTAGAAGATGAATTGGCGAACATAAGTTTGTTTTCGATAAATTGTCACCAGGCCTTTACATTTATATGGTAATTGATTAAGTAAGCTATGTGGGTTTGTAGAAATAATAGTACGGTTGTTAGGGGAGGTGGAATCGGGGTCAAAACCATATCAGCGTTAGGGCAGACTGGTGGTCGACCGAGGTGATACACTGCTGGCTATTGGATTAGCGGCTTTTGCCCATGGTAAATGCCGCGCTGCGAAGAAGTTCTTTTGGGCGCACAGGACCGATCGGCGTAGCCTGATGGCGGTCTGAGTCTACCGTGTGCGCTAGAATGGACCTGTTTATAACCTTAAGTTGGCTCTTCCCTTACCATGCTGGAATTTTCTCTGTTACTCTTTTGGATAAACGCCGGCTCGTGCGACCAATATATCCTGCCCCACAGGAACAGGTAAATGAATATATGCACATAGAGGTGTTCTGGGTTGGCAGTTTATACTTGATCTCTTCGTATATGATGAGAGTAGTCGAGAACAGGACATGGGGAGTTGGCTGCTGGGAAGGTGCTTGCTACACCTCAACTCAGGCGCCTCCTTATAAGTTCGCTTGGTCCGTTCCCTTGAACTGGGACCTTGATGAATATTCCCTTCTTCTCTGCCGTTAACACTGAGGGTTTTGGCGACCTTTCAGTCATGTTCTTAGCGATAAATCGACTGGTATACCTATTTTTTCGAAACATGCCTTTAACGATCTTTAGCTCCTCTTCGATGCTATCAGTTGAGCAGATGCTCTTCGCCCATTACGTCAAATATCTTATTTAATTGCGTTTTAAGCTTACCGGTACGAAGCTAAGAAAATGGAGGTATTGTAGTGGTCTTGTCTGACCGACACCCTCCTAACGCTTGACACAAGAGACCAGGTCATTCAAACCTTAAGACCTCGCGCGCAAGTAGTTCTCCCGCGTGCCTCGAGGCATGCGCAAACGGACGG